TCTAGTCTGTCATCTATCTAGTCTGTCATATCTCTCTCTCTCTCTCTGTCCGGCTGTCTGTCTGTCTGTCCATCTATCTAAATGTTATCTTAATAATGATGATGATGATGATGATAATGATAATGATGATAATGATGATGATGATAAAGTTGGAAGGGACCTTGGAGGTCATCTAGTCCAACCCCCTGCTCAGGCAGGAAAACCCTACACCATTTTGGACAAATGGCCATCCAGTCTCTTCTTCAAAACTTCCAGTGTTGGAGCATTCACCGCTTCTGGAGGTAGGTTGTTCCACTGGTTAATTGTTCTCACTATCAGGAAGTTTCTCCTTAGTTCTAGGTTGCTTCTCTCCTTGGTTAGTTTCCATCCGTTGTTTCTTGTCCTGCCTTCAGGCGCCTTGGAGAATAGCTTGACCCCCTCTTCTTTGGGGCAGCTCCTGAGATACTGCAAGGCTGCTATCCTGTCCCCCCTCGTCCTTCTCTTCGTTAAACTAGACATCCCCAATTCCAGCAACCATTCCTTATATGCTTTGGCCTCCAGTCCCCTGATCATCTTTGTTGCTCTTCTCTGCACTCTTTCTAGAGTCTCAACATCTTTTTTACATCGTGGTGACCAAAACTGGATGCCGTATTCCAAGTGTGGCCTTACCAAGGCATTGTAAAGTGGTATTAATACTTCACATGATCTTGATTCTATCCCTCTGTTAATGCAGCCTAGCACTGTGTTGGCCTTTTGGGCAGCTGCAGCACACTGCTGGCTCATATTTAAGTGATTGTCCACTAGGACTCCGAGGTCCCTCTCACAGTTACTACTATTGAGCAAGTTTACCCCCTATACCAGTGGTTCTCCACCTGTGGATCAGGACTCCATTTGGGGTCGAATGACCATTTCACGGGGGTCGCCAAACAACGCAGTCCGCCATTTTTCCCCCCCTTTTCCTTAGCTGTGCGACTCCCTTTTATTCTATGGGCTTTTGAAAGCCAATCGAAGAGACTCTCTTGAATAGAGTCTAATTCTATTGGCTTTCAAAAGCCAATAGGAATGGTCCAGGCTGTCTCTGCCCTGCTGAGCCCGCCAAAAGCCCCATTCTGCAAACGGTGCCGTACCAGTTGAGTAGTCCTCGACTTACGACCGGTTGAGTAGTCCTCAACTTACGACCGGTTGGGGGTCGCGGCATTAAAAAGGTTGAGAACCACTGCCCTGTACTATACCTGTGCATTTGTTTTTTCTGGCCTAAATGTAGAACCTTGCTTTTTTCACCCTTGAATTTCATTTTGTTAGATCTGGTGTGGGATATCCCCTCATTGTGTTCGGGGGGGGGGGTAAAGTGGCAGTCGAGAGAGAGACACACCTGTTCCCCCCCTGCCCCCCCCATAGCTGTGATATAAATTAGCTAAGGGGTGAAGGGGCTGGTTGAAAAAAAAACGAGGCAAAGGGTAGTTCTAGTCCCGCCTGCTGAGTTACAAGAAAGGAATCGGCAGGAGGTGGCGAGTTCTAGTTTCACCGTTGGCGTGAGAGCCGGTTGGGTGACCTTTGGCCAATCGCCAGGAGGCGGCGAGTTCTAGTGCTGCCCCAGGCGTGAAAATTAACTGGGTGATTCTGGGCCAATCAGCAGGAGGCAGTGAGTTCTAGTTTCGCCTTTGGCACGAAAGGTGACTGCTGGATTACTGTGGGCCAATCACCCGGAGATGGTGAGTTCTAGTCCCGCCTTAGACATGAAAGCTTGCCGGCGGACTCGGCCAATCACCAGGCGTTGGAGAGTTCTAGTCCCGCCTTAGGCATGAAAGCCTGTGGGGTGACTTTCAGCCAATCACCAGGAGATGATGAGTTCTAGTCCTGCCTTAGTCATGAAAGCTGGCCGGTGGACTCGGCCAATCACCAGGCGTCGGAGAGTTCTAGTCCCACCTTAGGCATGAAAGCCTGCGGGGTGACTTTCAGCCAATCACCAGGAGATGGGGAGTTTTAGTCCCGCCTTAGTCATGAAAGCTGGCTGGGGGATTCAGCCAATCACCAGGCGTCGGAGTGTTCTAGTCCCGCCTTAGGCATGAAAGCCTGTGGGGTGACTTTCAGCCAATCACCAGGAGACGGTGAGTTCTAGTCCCGCCTTAGGCATGAAAGCCTACTCAGTTACTAGCAGCAAATCACCAGGAAACAGTGAATTCTAGTTTCACCTTTGGGGTGAAAGCCGGCTGGATGACTTGCGCAATCACCAGGAGGCGGTGAGTTCGAGTCCTGCCATGAAAACCTGCTGGGTTGACCCGATGTCAGAGCTGGATAACCCTTTCTTCTCAAATAGTATAAGAAGGGTTAGACTAGACGACCTCCAAGGTACCTTCCCACTCCCTTATTCTACGAGTCTGTAAGGGTCTCCCGCTTGAACAGAGGGCCGGACTAGATGACCTCAAAGATCCCTTCCCACTCTCTTATTCCATGATCCTCTAAGGATCTCCTGCTTGAGCAGCGGGCTGGACTAGATGACCTCAAAGATCCCTTCAAATGCTACCTGTCCTCCCTTAAGCATAAAAGGCAGCTGGATGATTTGGGCCATTCCCCCCTCTCTCTCAACCTTGTGGTTGTAGAGAGAAAAAAGAAGGAAGAGGAAGGAATATTAGCTATTACTTGCTTCCTTGAGTTATTTCTAAAAAGATAATAATCCAGGCCAGTTTAAACAAATGCAGTGAGGTTGTGTGTTGTGTGCCGCTGTATTGTGGTGATTGTTATCCTTCTCAGCTGCAACAATACATGTTTTGTTTTGTACTGTTTTCAGCTGGACACTTGCCCAGAATTGCTGGTGCAAAATAAGCAGGCTGGATTGAGGGACGAGACTGAAGAAACCACAACGACAAACTCCGTGTGTGTGTGTGTGTGTGTGTGTGTGTGTGGTTGGCTTAAGTCAACAATGGTTTGAGGGGACAGAATCGGAAGGCTGAAGACAGATCAATCAATCCATCCATCCATCCATCCATCCATGGATTAGATTAAGAAAGTCACAGGTGGGAGATCCCGATCTCCTTTTTGCTTGGATAGGTAGGAATTTTTTTAGCAAATTAAAAAGTCAACGATTAACCATTCTCTTCCTCTTATTTAATCTCCAATTTCAGTTATTCTGCCGGAGCAGGGGGATGGACTAGATGACCTCCGAGGTCCCTTCCCACTGTGTTACTCTATGGTTCTGTAAGGGTCTCCTGCTTGAGCAGAGGGGCTGGACTAGATGACCTCCAAGGTCCTTTCCCACTCTGTTACTTTATGGTTCTGTAAGGGTCTCCTGTCTGAGCAAGGGGCTGGACTAGATGACCTCCAAGGTCCCTTTCACCTCTTCTTATTTTGTTAAAAGAGACTGGGCAGCCATTTGTCTGGCATGGTATAGGGTTTCCTGCTTGAGC